TTTTGTTTATATGGCACATTTCATTAAAGTAATGTGCTTTCAAAGTGCTTTACATTCAACAGTGGAAGAAGTGTTCAGAAGCTGAACAGAACAGCAGAAAATGTCAAAATGTCTTGCACGCAAAAGGCCCTTTAAGCACAATGCATAAAAGTAAAAGTTCTCATTATGCAGAATGGCCCGATTGAGTGTGTTATGTTGTTACCAGCCGCCACAGCGTGTAGCTGGCATTATTTTCACCTTGTGAGTCTGTGCATGTGTGTATGTCATCATGGCAAAATGTGGTCCTGGAGACACCTACTGNCAACTTCACCGTGAAATCATAATGTTCTGCAAAAAACATCCATTCTGTATTTATGGAACAGAATGGCAGATTGTGAACATATTTCCTGCAATTTGGCTTGTTGGTGGAGGCCTAAAACTGCGAGTTGGTAATTCTAGTTTTAGATTGATTTCAAGTATGTGAATGGATTTGTTTGTGTCCAAGAAGAGCTGAATCCAGGGCAACAGGACTTTGTTATAGATACTTTAAGTCCAGTTGTCCTCAATTCAGCTCCTCTTGGATAACCATGAGCTGCACGACTGAGAAGCTTCACAGTCATCAAATTGTTTGTGAGTTTTTGTGTTTGCAGAAATGCTTGCCTCCAAATGCCCTCGTGGGATGAATAAATTTAACTGACATTAATTGAATAAATGACTAACAACTGTTAATGTTTAGAAGATGGACATTACATTAACTTTTTACTGCATATTAAAGACCTTCTAGAAAAAGAGCAGCTGTATTTTTCTAAACAGTCAAACTGTCTGAAATTAAAACTGTAAATTATCATAGTTATATTACAGTAAAACAAGTTGCTAAGTTGTCACTGTCCAGATGTCTTCCACATGAGCAGCCTAATCTGTTACGGTACAGTATAATTACACAGTTAATGTGCTACACCGTGGGCCGGGCCGCAAAACCACAGTGAGTGACATCTGCTCTGGCTTCACAACTGTTAATTAGGATGGACATCACGGCGTATCAGCTCCAGCCACTGTCAAACATAATTAGAGTGGAGGACGGCAGGACTATAAGCAGAAACATAAGGAAGGGGTGGGGGGGCCAGGGTATGCAGGGAGAGGAAGTGAAATGAAAAGGGGGGAACAGGGAATAGATGTAAAGAGAGGGTGAAAAGAGGGGGAAAGGATCTGGAGTGATGGGATTAAAATGTTTTCCTCTTCAGTCCATGCCCAATGCAAAATCCACTGGGCAATCACATCCACCCTCTGGTATATCCAGAAGATTGACATAATTAAAGTTGGGAATCAGATGAAGGAGAGTTGATTTCCCACAGGAAATCCCATCTCATTCATGTCACAAGTCTTACAATTGATCTAGTATGGCCACGTAAACTCTTTGAATCTCCTTCAGAAGGAAACAGGTCACTTTAATGGGATTACTATTGAGCACTATCAGAGACCAAAAAAAAAAAGTTTTTGAGATGAACGCACATGGCATATTTTTTTTTTTACAGTATCTGACATGATAGAGGTTTCCACTCAAGACCAGACACATGGATATGATTTTGTTTGTAAAGTGTGGGGGCTGCCTGAAGACCAAGAAGCTAAGGCAAGACTTCTAGACTTTCTCAGGAGGGTAAACGCACACACAGGAGTTACAAGGATACAAGGACCTTTATCGTCATCTCATCGCAGTGATACTGATACTTTTTAAGGTACAATTTCCACTTTAAGAAATGCAAAATAAAGTATGTTCTTAAATACCTCACAAAATGAAAGAGATGGAGGAAAGCTACTGTACATTCAGGCAATTCAAAATACGTTTGCGTCCGTATTTAGAGCATGTTTCAACCTAATTTCCAGCAATTTGGCAAAAGAAAATGCAAATGAACGTGTGTTTCCATCCACTGCTGTTACGTTAGGGATTGTGTGCATTGGAAGTAACAGCTGGGGAACCAGTTGGGCACCATTAAACCAATGCAGAGGAACAGGATACAATGAGCTGGTGCAATTAAAAGAGTGCCAGTCAAACCTCAAGCGAATCAAAACGATGTAGGAAACATGAGAGAAAGATGGCATTTATATTTTGTTGCATGTATTTATTTGACCGACACGTTTGCAAATGGATTTTGTGTGTAAGACTGTGGATTCTTTTTCTTTTTTTGTTTTTATAGATCTGTGGTTTCAAGTACAAACAAACCAAAAAGCCATAAGGCTGTAAGACATTTTTCAAATAGGTTTAAAGTCTAATCCACTACCCAGACAATCAATTCCTGAGGGCTTCCTGCAGCAGCCAGCGACTTGAGCCAATGTGTCACGACAAAATGCAACAACACTTGGTGAATATACTGTACCGCAATTACACAACAGGACTCACACCTCCCATTGTCCTCGTCCTCTACCAGCTGCTGCTTGCAACATGATTTTTTTTTTT